CACTTAAATGTGGGGAAGGTCATTTTGGAGAAACCAGCTCGAGTGCGCTAGAATTTGAAAATACACAGCCGGAAAAAATCTGCCACTTCCTTACAGAGCCCCTCCTCCAACACACAGGAACGCGCACATGACCAATGAGGGCACGAGATAAGTTTGTGCACAGATGGAAGGCAGGTAGGCCATCCAGTTACTTTAGCCGGACCGGCTGAAATGATTGGTCGTGCTTTTTACAGTACCACAGCTTCCACAGATGACATTTTTTTATGTATTTTTTGTCAAAGCACTTAAGATATTCATTGCTATCGGGATGTTAAGAGCATTCCATGGAATATAACAAAAAGTGTATCTCGAGCCGGTTTCTCAAACTTACCTACCCCACCTTTAAGAAATAAAGCTAAATGTAGCCAGCTTTATTATCTATGCTTTTAATGTCTATTAGGCCAAAAACATGACTATACAGTGTAAACCATATTTGAAAATAGAAGTCGATTACCAATTACATTAGTTTAGTTTCTCCAATTAGATAAAATACTGAAAAAGAGACAATTCTCTAGCAAAGAGATAGCATTATCTGACATTAGTGTGCTCATGCATAATCATATAATGCAATTAGTTATTGTTTTATCTCTGAAGTTAATGGAAATACTTGAATATTTCAGAAGCAAAAAAGACAAATATGACATTCCACAAAATAAAGTGTCACTAATCAATCAGTGCCAAAACCAAACCTAAGATTGGCTTTAAAATGATATGCTGGGTTAATTCGTCTATAGAGAGGCGAAGTCCCGCCCTTCTACTTCCGCCCCATGGGACCTTATTTCGGAAAAATTATGTATTGGAGTCAATGGGGAGAGAAAGATTATCTTTCGATCCCATTTGAATTGTGCCATGAATTACACATATGATGTTTGTCAATCTTAAAAAATCATTTCCATCACAAAAAGTCACAGTTTGTCGTAAAACTGTTCAAATATAAGACTATGAAAAATACGCAACTAGAAAGACTACAAATCCCAGAGTCGCGTAAGTGATGTCATTAACGTTACACATTACACTCGTGTTACTCACCGAAACCTTGTAAGCCGGTCCTGCATGCTGGCTCTTACGGAACTGACTAACTCCCCTTTTTCGTATGTACAGTTCTCAACATGGCCAGACTTGTAGTGATTTTCACCTCTTTTAATACTTTTCGCCTTATTCTGAAAGAAAGAGGTGAAATGTGCTAACGTGACGGCCATCTTGGTGTAGGTCACGTGTGCGAGACCAGAGATGTAGTTCATTGAGCGCTTTACACAAAAAAAAAGTGTTACTTCACAGTTTTACGACAATTTTTTTTTTAAACTTGCAAAATTATCTTTTAAATTGACAAACATCATATGTGTAATTCGTGGCACAATTCAAACGGGATCAAAAGATAATCTTTCTCTCTCCATTGACTTCAATACATAATTTTTCCGAAATAAGGTCCCATGAGCTCCCCCGGAAGGGGAGGAACTTCGCCACTCTATAGAAGTCTTTGTGCTGTATTATGCAGTGATAATGAGACATAAAACCATATCATTAAGATACAAAGAAAAACGTCTCTTGGGTCATAGGGTTATAGTGTCCTGGCCGAGTGCAAGGGCAACTAAGCAAGAGAAAAGAAAGAGCACAGCGAGCTTATTAAAATCAGGTGGTTGCTAATAGGGAGAGGTATAGGTTGTAGAAAGAAGCTGATTTCACGGAAAAGCAACCATTTACTGTAAGTATGAAATAGTCAAATATGTGATATTTCTGATATTTTACGAGGGCTTGTCGGTTTGCTTTGGTGAAATGTTTGCATTAGGGATGTCATGAGAACAGAGTCTTCAGTACCAAGTCGGTGCCAACATTCTGAACACGTGACTTGTTTTTATAAGCAAGTACTGTGAGTCTCGCAAAATAACGTTGTAACGTCTTCTCGTTGCAGGGGGGCAAGGGGATGCACCCTTCCTCTTATAATGACGTGAACAACACATCTGTGTTGTTAACAACAGGAGAGTTACAGGGTGGTTGCAGTCTTATAATAATACATAACAAGCTAACAGCTAATGTCAACAGAGTGAGGTTACATAGAATCATATTGTAATTGTCATATTGGAAGGTAAACTATGACATTAACATGATGTGTTCAAATGTTGTCATGTAAAATGTTTGATTGTGGCAATAATAAATTATAAGTTAAGTTGATATGCTTGGAAATATAAGAAATTATTAGTAAATGATGACCTATATAGTGAGATATTAAAGGTTTGTATGGTGAAGTACACAGTGTTTGGTTTTCAATTTGTTTTTACAATGGAATTGTATCAGGTATTTGTATTGACCATAACATTTCTGCTGTCGTGACATAGTTTGCATGTTGTTTTTGATCCCGAGGAATAATAATTCCATCGCAGGATTTAGTAACATATAATTGGATGAATGTTCAGGCTTCTAACTTTAGGTATTTACTCTTGCATTGAGGAAAAAGCAGACGCCAACTTTGCAATGAAGCCAATTCCCACGCGCGTACAGATAGGAAGCAACCCGTGACGTGTGCCTCAAGCCAGAACTGAACCACATACTTAAGGCTTGCCAGCACCGTCCTCCAACCAATTACGATGTATTCTGAGAGGTACTTGGCTATCAGAGAAGCCAGCAGATCTGCCCTGTCTCGATGAGTTGCAACATTTCCAGGCACACACAGGTCATTGATTAGAGGGGCTCAACTCACAGCCTCAGTCTATCAGCGCTCAGGGACCGGTAATCAATTCTCTAATGCCGTTTGAGCCTATTCACCGCAGCAATGATCCACTCCTCATTTTGCAGATACAGACACACATCCCCACGTGGAAGGACTTGTGTGGATGTTGCCAAGCACACACCGAATATTACCCAGATGGCCATCGTAAAAGCAGGGGACAACTCCCAAATATTAACTTACCAAGTGAAGCAGTGATGGGGCACTGTCATCTAATGACATTATCAAAATGAGTGCAGCTCTCCTGAGGCGGACTCTGGTTCCTGATTACCTGGCAGCGCAGGACCCTGTTTGTGGCCAAATCTGATCAGCATAGCACCAGACACAGGCATGGCCGGTCAGCGATTCAGCCCTGCGGCCCCTTATCTCTACCGACAGGCTGTTGTTCCTTTATGGGCAATGATGTACTCCCAATAATTAATCTGATTGGGCTCTGGTGGAAGATTATGTTCGAGTGAAACTACTGAAAGGAAAGCACGGGCCCTAACTTCCTTTCTGCGCTACCCTCGATCAGATGGAATTACGATGAGAGACCTAGTACAGATCAGGGAGAGCGAGGACTGAATCTCTGCTTCAGGCAGGTCGTCTGCGGAAATAGACTGACCAGTAACAACTCCGATTATTGCCTCCAAGAAACTTTTTAAACAGGATAATTGACAGTCAAACAAATGTGTGCAATAAGAACCATGTTGCCTCAGTCCTAAATTACAACGTTATATAGTGTAATTTGGTTATTGCTTCCAAACCATCATCCTTCTAAATACTTTTCACTTTCATTTTTTATATGCTTGCTAACAATATTAACATAATTTTACTTTGGTGGCATCCTAAATGCAGGGCTTTTAGTTGGAACAGAGTATTTTTACAATTGCTACTAAATTAAGAATCTGAATACTTCCTCCAATGATTTCAAAGGCAAGGTTTTCTGTTGGTATTACATTCAATTAGATTGTATTTCAACATGTTGATTAAAAAAAATTAAATACAAATAATATATCCAACAAACATCAAACATAAACATAAAATACTCAATAAACAAGGTCATACTTCAAGTCAGAAAAGGTGTAGGTAGAAGTGAATACTTATCAAGTCACACCTCTTTAAAAACAATATTTTGTCAATGTAATGTATATTATTAATTATACATGAATGTTCTGACTTTATGCACAAATCAAACAAAAATAAGGCATTTGTCAATTCTCGTTGGTAAATGCTTAAATCATGTACATTTCGATTTGTGACTAAAGTAAGAAAATGTGCTTGGTTGATGCGAGTCATTGCTTTCATCAGGTTTAGCTTCAGTAAAATGTATCAAAGAAATCGACCTGATTGTTTAGAAGAGAGTTGTTTTAAAGGAGCATGTAATCTAGGATTTAAGCCCACACATGCAGGGCCCAATGGGTTAGCACCCCATCGCCTTGATAACGCCACCTCGTCTCCGTAGGCTGGCTTTTAGGGTGACCTCACATTGTGTTTTCATAAAAGGAAAACTAAATTGAGCTTTTGATGTACAGTAGTGCAATGTATGAGTGGTCCGTAGGAATTAGCTCAAATGGTAGAGCACCCTTTGAGCATGTGAAGCGCAGTGGGATCTAGGCCCACAACACTCTCCTGCTGTGGACTGATATTTACTGTAACTCAAAACTAAAGAATCAACTGATAGTTAAAACTTTGATCAGTGCTTCTAATAGAAGCACTGATACCCGGTTTAAAAAAAGGCCTAGCTAGGGAGCTTCTTTATCAAACAAAACAATTACCATACATAGTATGTGTATATCTGCTAATTATCCAACATTCATAATGTTCAAAACGAATGATTCAGTTTGTTTTTAAACTGATTAGGAGTATCATTAAATGTGAAAATATACCTTTGCAAGCATCACAACACATTAATAACTTAATCGTTTTTGCCAAGTTTCCATTTCAGCATTAAAATACCTGTCAATCAATTATAGATTGGATAGAGGGTGTTGTTTTTCTCATACTGATATTCTGAACAATCTGTGCTGTTGTATTTGCTGTAAAGTGTCTCTACTGTAGGCTATTTTTATTATATGTACAGCACTTTGGCTCTACCAAAAATCGTTTATAAATGTGCTATATAAATAAAACTTGATTTGATTTGATTTGATAGAGTGATAGGGTGCTTAGAATGTTGGTGGTAATTTGACCTCAGTGTTTAAATTTGGATCACGGTTTGGGCTTTCAAATGAACAACGCTACAACAGTTTACACTTACTTTGGTGTCTGTGTGTCATCCAAGCGGTTCCCCATCTGGAACTCGTGGGATTTGCTGCGGTGCAGTGCGGTGAAGCCCGGCAGCAGATGGATGAGCTTGCGGCTCGGTGGAGGTGGCGTGCCCGGGGCCTTCCCTTTGTTCCTTCGCCGCATTGGGGGGGTGCCAGGCGGGGTCATGGTGTTTACCACCAAGGGAGTCCGAGGAGGCGTGTGGCCAAAATGCCTCTGTCGGGGAGACGGGGGCAGAGAGCGATGACCAAAGTCCAAGGGAGGGAAGAGCCCCGTGGATGGGCTGTCGACGGTCAGCCGATCGGCATATAAAGGGGGGGCCAGGGCCTGGGGGCTGTGGCACATGTGCTGGTTGTACTTGGACTGGACTTTTGGGCTTTGGGAGAGCTGGTACCGGATCCACTGACTGACCTCTGGTTGGCACACTGGAGTGTTCTCTTTGCCCGATTCAGAGGTGGGCCACTGGATGGACCAGTCCTGCTTCGACTGGCTCCCTATGGGAAGATGACACAGATTCAACAGATTCAACACCAACAGAACACCTGGTTGAGACAAACTAAATAACCCTAACACCCTAGTGTACAGTTTTCTTTTGCGATGCAAATAGTTTTTATTTATTTTGACTACGTTTTGTAATGTCTGTTTGTATCCTCTCCTATCTATAAACCTATACAAGTGATACAAGTTTGTGTGTTGATGGTGATCACAGGTTTTTTAAATACCATCTGCAAAATAAACAGCAACATTTATAGAAACGTAGGTACTCTAGATAGTACACAGACCTCGGTACTTTCATTTAAATGGTTTTTTCTGAATAATTAGGCTAGATGAAAACTGTTTTATGTAAAAATATGTTACTGTTACATTCTAACATTCGTTTTTGGCCCTCAGTTTATCTCCATTGTTTAAGTCAGAGGGGGTCAAAACGTTGCCAAATAAATCAATATCTGCATGCCTTGATACCACTTAGGGTAGTGAGAAAATATATTTTTATTTCATAATTTAGCTTTTTTGCTTAATATGGTGTATCAAGTTAAACTAAAGTGGTTCTTGATATGTACTTAAAACTGAATCATCAATGAACTTTTCTTCTTGATTGCAGCGGTAAGAGTAATCCTGACGGCAGGCAAACATTAACAACCAGCAAATGTGCTCAATTTGGGTAATGAAGAATTAACTCAGCAGTTCTGATGTGATCGCATTAGTAGTGCCGTGGTGTTCAAATATGCTGATGCAGAGCAGATTAAGCATGAATGAATGGAGCAGCAGAGTGAGTACAATGGAAGAGTGCACCAAAACAGAACAGGTCAAAGCCGTATGAGTCATAACACAAGTCGACTTCTACCCAAAACTAAACTTTCTGTTGAATGAGAAAGAGAGAGAAGCAGAGGCAAAATAATTGAAGGTGAGCAGCCAAAATGAGTGTTTTTGAGCTCAGATGACAATACTTTACCTCCATTACTGTGCAATTTATCCTCCTCAAGTTGTTCTTCAGAAAGAAACAGGGGGAAAAAAATTTGTTTATTGATCGGGCAGAGACACAGCTGAAGTAGTCTGCAACATCCTACTTTTCTTTCCATCTGTAGTTATGTATAGCCAAAAGGCTGTTCAGCTAAACAAAACTATGTTGGTGGAATTGATCGGGGCTATGCAGTAACTCATAGAAGCTGACTGAGCAACAGTTACCTCACAGTCTTCAAAAACTGCTTTTGACCACAAAGCCACATTTAATGCAAATTTCTGTCAACAAAAGTACACTTTTTTATTTTTGTGTCATTATTTTTTCTACCCTGCGACATTGTCTCCAAGGAACTATAAGCATCAAAAACACAAACTTCAAACACAATATAAAACCAGCAACATCAAATGAGCTTCGGAAAATATCTCCCATAAAAGGTCCCGGTGGAATTGCTAAACTTGATGAAAAAAAAAAAAAAGCCTGCAGCCTTTCCTATTCTGTAATGTTATGAAACGATGAGTTCTGGGAAGAGAAACAAGGGACATAATATGGGGATTTTCAAGGGTCCCACTTCTTCTTCTTTCTAAATATATGCCTACTTAAGTCATATTGGCGGGGGGGTTTCTTACATTTCTTATTAAAGAGTTATTTTTTACCAGAGGTTATGCTAAGAAAATACCGAAATAAAGCTAAACTTTTAAACAGATGCCCCTGGAAATTGTTAAATACAAATGTGACATAGATCTGAAGACGTGAAGTGTTATTCATATTTTATATTGATGCCTTTTTTCAGAAATAAACATCACATTTGCAAAGATTGATCTAGAACATACGTCCTGTTGACTACTGTAGCCAAGCCCGCCTTAACCTGCCATCAGGCCCTGGGGCTGAAATGTTTTGTAGGCCCCCTATTTAAACAACAAATCAAAGTCAAATATAGCCTCGGCAGGCTCTGTGATCGCACTTCTCCACTCTGCTCTACGCGCGCCTGGTCCTCGCCTCCAGATGAGTGACGTATCGGGCCTCCCTCATGTATTTGTCCGGTTGCCGTAGGCTCCCCTCCACGTAGCAAGTCCTCGTTGTCCTCTCCATCTCCTCCAACAGATAATGTCCCTCCTGTCTGTTTTTCCTCTCCCGCCACTCCATCGCTATCAGAACCAGACGGCCTACTTGGCTCCGAGGCCCCGCGGCCGGCACCGCTGCCGCTCGGTACAGAACTCATCTGTCCTTCCTTCTCATCCTGGCCTACAGGCTAAAAATAACCTGTAAGCTTCGGCATTTTTTGTAATAGCTGCTTGTCTCGAAACTCCTTTTCCCTCAACAATTTCCTTTTCCGAGCGCCACTCTCAAACTTTTTCTTCTCCGACATTTTCTCCTTAACAACCTTCTTCTGTCACTCAATCAGTCGCAATTTGAATAAGTCACATGTGAAACATATTCTCATTCTGATTGGCTGTTAAGTGGTGCCCACTGACTGTTACGGAGTCAACATTTTTGAGAAAAATCTCTGGAATCCATCGATCTGATTGATTAGCGGAGTAAATGATCAAAATAGTATCGAGGGAAGATATTATTTTCGTTTGGATTACTGGTCTGGGGGAAGCGTATGTGTGTATACGTGTGTGTGTTTGTGTATTTTTGCGTTTGTGTGTATTGTGTTTGTTTCCCGGGGAAAACACTCACGAGAAACACCGGCTGTTGTTATGCCTGCTGTGACGTCAAGTTACTCCGTTCTCCGCTTGTAATTATGCCGTTACAAGCTTCAAAGTTGTTTTTATCATCTGAATTTGCCGAAACAAGTTTAATATTCTGAAAGCCAAGACTTTGTTGATTTGAAACCAGATGAAACAAAATGTAACGGACCCTGCCGTGTTATCTATGATTACTATACGCCTTACATTCATAATTTCAGCGGAGGGAGGGGAACAGCAGAACAGCAGAGTGGCGAGGGAGAGCTGTCTTCTTCCCTTTACAAGCTTCAAAAATGTATTTATCGTGTGATTTTGGAAATAAAAGTTTCATATTCTGAAAGCCAAGACTTTGTTTATATAAAAATTAGGGCTGTCAGTCGATTAAAATATGTAATCGCGATTAATCGCATGATTGTCCATAGTTAATCGCACATTTTTTATCTGTTCTAAATGTACCTTAGAGGAATATTTTTCAAGTTTTTAATACTCTTATCAACATATGAGTGGACAAATATGCTTTATGCTAATGTTTATTATCATTTGAACAATGACAAATATTCTCATGAATATTAAACACAACAACCTCTGAACATTACAAATATTCGCCTCAATACAACCTGGAACCTCTTTCATACAATAATACAATACAAAGTGTGTGTGTGTGTGTGTGTGTGTGTGTGTGTGTGTGTGTGTGTGTGTGTGTGTGTGTGTGTGTGTGTGTGTGTGTGTGTGTGTGTGTGTGTGTGTGTGTGTGTGTGTGTGTGTGTGTGTGTGTGTGTGTGTGTGTGTGTGTGCGTGCGTGCGTGCGTGCGTGCGTGGGTGCGTGCGTGCGTGCGTGCGTGCGTGCGTGTGTGTTTGTGATGGATCGTTGGAGCTATGTGCAACTCAAGGCATAATCGAACGGGAGCTGCCTGGACGCTGCGATCATGTTGCGCGCACTATCCGAGCTGAGTGTGCTGACTTTTCGTACAATGTCCCACTGTCTGGCTTCCTGCATAAAGTCAAGTGCTCGGCGCAGTTGTCGGCGAAATGTCACTCCTCTGTTTTCATTGAAACAGCTCCTTATATCCGTTAGCGCAGCTAGCTAGCACCAGATGCTAACAACAGCAATACACGTAAGATCTCTCCCGGTCCTCCCGATGGCCAGTCAGGGCCTGCCGGTGAGCGTGGAAGTGTGGTCTGCAGCAAGCGGGCGGCAGGAGCGGGGCTGTCAGCATCAGCTTGTAGATGGTATTTTAAACTCGATGCGCTCTGAAACTATGGGATGGCCGAGGACAAAAAATGCACATGCGTTAATCGCGTTAAAATAATTAGTGGCGTTAATTTTTTTTGGTTCATGATAGGCCCCCAATTTCCGTAGGCCCCTGGGCTTCAGCCCAGGTCAGCCCGTGCATTAAGGCGGCCCGTCTGTAGCTCAAGCCTAGGATATTACTCAGTAGGGTCTCTCGAGTGAAGCTGTAGCTGCCACTCTGTCCTCAGTGTGGCTGTGTGAGTACCACAGGTGCCTGAACCCACATTAAGAGGCCCACATCTCAACCCTAAAAACCCCTTCAGAAATCAAGTTCCAGGGAGGATGAGTGGGCTCAAAAGACTGCTTGTCCACCAATGTGAGGGGGGGATGCTTAATCAAGCCTCTTTTATTAGCAGGAAAAGCCATAACCAGCCACTCAGAAATGTCAAAGTCCAGCTTGACCCAGCATGAACGACTTAAACTAATCACAGGCCAGTGAAGAGTTCTCACCTCTGAGGCTGAGAATATGGATCTGTTCTATAGGGGAAGTTCTGGTTTCCCTTACATTTTCAATCAAAGGGTCTCTTATTCTAAACAATAGGGAAATGGCCGAGTTTTGTGGCATCCATTGCTGTCTGTGCAGTGTCATTTGTGCATTGTTCATCATTCAGGAGGTTTTTCACAGGAATAGTATTATCCTACTCAAAAACACAATGATACAAACAGCTTATTGCTCAATATAATTTCTCTGAATACTTAAGATTAAGATCTTCAGGTGGTTTTAGAGTTTAACCAAGAGTCATATAATATTTTAATATTCTCCTCATCTATAAAACAAATGGATATGGTGAGTCAAATTGGTAAACACGTGAATAAAGCAGTTTCATTTAAAGCAGTTTCATTTAAACTCATTTAAACTGCTTATCTTTCTTACAGTGCAGACGCTTTTCCGCTTGCTCTTGCCTCTGCTTACTTTTTATGCTGATTTTCCTATTCTTATTATCTGAACATTTCGAGCAGCAGCTCCTGGACATTAACTTATCACTGGGACAGTTAATCTTCGTAAATAGACGGAGGGTTTCAGCCATATTTCAACATTTTTACGACGACCTCAGTCTTACAGTAGCGTGGCCTAGCAACAGCTAAAGCCTGGTAGGCTACTGCATGCTATTTAGCTTAAGCTAGTTAGCAGTAAAATGCCTCCGTTCTCTACAGATGACTTCCACAAACTTCTACAGAAGATGGCTGTGTTGGAAATGAAAATGCAACGGTTGGAAGTTAACGTGGAAGTGAATGGACTAGGTTGGAATGACACCACTTTACCAGTATTGCAAAATAATGGAAAAGGGTATGCTAACTCACAGCTAGTTAGCAGCTACAAGGGTTCCAAGGAACAGGAGAGCTGTGTACCGGGTAATACATCTACAAGTGGTAGTCCTCCCTGGAACTCTGGGTGCAAAGCCTAAGAGTAAATCATTTCCATGGGATTTGGGAGGACGAACAACAGGCAGAGCCCAGCGCTCTGAAATCTGTGATGCGACCGGCTGGCCTGCATTGTTATCACCCAGGAAGAGCGCCTCTTCAACCCCTGTTCCTACTAGGAAACAGCCGTGGACAGCTGCTAAAGGGAGAACTACAAACAATCCTCCTAAACCACCAAGTGTGTCAATCCAGAACAGATACGCTCCGCTGACCGAGAGCCGGAGATCTCTTTCTGATGACCTGGATAACCTGTCCTCCTCACATAGCAGGGTAAGGACCAATAGCTACTCCAAAAGTAAAAGACTAGAGGGAAAGCTAACGACTGGGCCTGAAACTCTGATTGTGGGTGACTCTGCTGTAAGAGATGTAAAAAGTCTGTGTAGTAAGAACAACACTAAAGTACTCTGTTTTCCCAAGGATGTGGTCTCTGACTTGGCTGAGAAGATCCTGCATATTGGGGCTGAACATCCGACTGTGAAGAATGTGGTACTGCATATTGGAAAAAATGATGTTGTGAAACAACAGTCAGAAATGCTGAAAGAAGACTTTAAATGTCTGTTGGAAACTGTCAGCTCTCTAAATGTGGAGGTGTTCATCAGTGGCCCTCTACCACCAGTCAGAAGAGG